GAAGCAGATGAATGTTTTTCTCTTTGACCCGAAGGTCATTTTGTCACTTCCACCCCTACTACAGTTTGAAAGACCACGTGATTCCAAGGCCAGAAATTCTTTTCAGCCTTAGGCTCACATACATTTACATCACAAACATGCAATGCAAACCACAAATAAATGTGCACACGTACCATTTCCTCTGCTCTGAGTGGTGCTAAGTCTGCTTTTCTCCTTCCCGTTCCCTTATTCAAAGGTGCAACGTTGCGGATGAGTCGACAAACGCAGCAACACTTGTCCAAGAATAACATCCCAAACTCTCACTCACCCTGTACATGGACATATGTCACCTTAGCCACATCAGAAGTATGGCTGTCCTCTTCAGAGAGCATCAGAACAAACTTGTCCCACATTTTCTTCTTTACACTCACTACTCCCTTTTCCTGGAAGCTTTAATTTTAAAAAGACCAATTAAAATTAGCAAGGTATCTAACATAGTAGTCTGCTACTATTTAAGGTGTCAAATTAATTAAAACCTGACCTGTATAAGACCACGTAGGCTCATGCTACAAACAAACAGCACCAATGTTTCACAAGGAGCAGGTTCTCCTGGACAATGCTTCGACCCCAGACAGCCACAAAGGGCTTGTGCTGAGATCATGCCTGGGCACAGCCAAGCTCAGCTTTACAGGGCTCAGAGAAAGCATGAACTAGCAAGTCCTGTTTGCAACAAATTTTGCCACTTTGCAGCAGTCTCAGCCCCAGCTCTTGGTTTGGTCCTGGAGCATTTGCAGGGACTGGCGTGACTGCGGGACCTAGGTGCACTGGCAGTCAACAGGGCTGGTGGGGCCCAGAAACCTTCCCACACCGTGGAAGGGGAGAAGCCTCGGGGGCTCATGGCCCCCTGGTCTCTGCTCCTGCAGGGCTGACACAGTGCATGAGCCCCATCAAGCATGCTGCTTACAGCACAGCACTCCAAAAACCCCAGCACTATGGAAATCTCAGAAAACAAAACTCAGCTTCTCTCAGGTGCGCTGGAAAGTGGGGAATGGGAGGTGGCACATCAGCTTGCATTGCATTTCTAGGCCTTGATTTTTACCTGAAATATTAAATACACTATTAAAAGCACAGCAGGAAAAGTCGACTTTTCTGGAGAGGGAAGGCATCTCCTTTGAAAACTCTCATCTGTTTGCTGAGAAATTTTCACTTACTGTCTTTTACTAGCAGGAGACGCTGCTGAGAAATATGAAGCAGAAAGCTTTTGTTCACAGAGAATTGTGAAAAAAAGGAAGAGAAATCAGTGAAACTTTTAATGTGAAGCTTTCCCTGTGGAAACATTTCCTTGTGCGATACAGGTGTACACAAAGACACCAAAGGCAAGGAAAAAAAAAGGTTATGGCTTGAAAAAAAGAACTTGAACTTTGGTTAGGACTCACCTTAAAATGGACTTGTGCAAAGAGTGGGGGGGGAACCCAAACCTTTAAATAAAAGAAACTCTTAAGAGGAAACCCCATCACTGAGGTAAACCACTATCCAGGTCTATGTTTGGAAAAAGTTTTGCAAAACATGATTAGTTGGCTAGGAACATTGGAAAAACAACATACCCTTAACTATTTTGGCAAAAGTCATGGTGCAGTTGTATGAATTCAAGTGAGAGGCCCAGCTGGAACACTGAGCCTCGTGACTAGCTAAACCTCTGCAGGGAATCCAGGGAGTAATTAAAACTGTTCAAGAGCAAGGATGCTGTGAGAACAAAACATCTACCTGGGGATGGGGTGGTGGGAGTATGTTATTTGCTGATACAGTTATTTCAGCAATCTTGTATCAGCCAACCCCAGAAGTTACAGATATTGATGTATGATTTATCTGCTTACCAGTTCGCTATCTTTGTATCTTTTACTCTTTCCAATTATATTACAGATATAATAATCTTTTTGATAACAACAGGAGGCTTCTCACTCTAATACTGCAGAAGCATCCAAGTAAGGGGAAGAATGCTCTAGATACACAAAGCCACTGCCCTTCCTTAAGTAAATAGCTTTCTTTACAGGCATTTTTCAGCTGCTTATCTCCATGGTCAAAGCCTTCAATAAGACAAATAAAGAAACACTCTTGTTGGCCAGCTAAGCAACCTGCCAAAACAGAATTCCCATTGCCAGCACTGATACCACTTGGTTTAGATGTAGTTTCTCAGCCCACAGGCTTCGGCTGTTTGAAGGAAAAGCAGTTCTCAGAACAGATGGAGTTGGTAATAAAGCTCTTTCTAGGAGATACAAGGATTACACAGGGAATGAAATGGTGAAACAGTGTCTGGAGTACACGTTGTAAACTTGAACAACTCAAAGTAAAATTCCCTTCCCACTGAGAACAACACGGTGGGACAAAGCGGAAGAGACAGCATGGCTTTCCAAAACATTAGCTGTCATGGCTGTTTCCCCTCAGAATGCTGGCTACCTAAAAACTACTTGAGACGCACGTTCCAGCCTCGCACTCACACAAAAATCTTATGACTTGTCATTTTGAATCAGTATCAGGAGCACTGCCAAAAAAACGGATAAAGTAGCTGTCTCAAAAGAGCAAGAGAGTCTATGCACCAGACGGGGAAACAGTGCAGGCACTTGCCTGTGTATAGCAGAGCGCCTGAGCTCATCATCTACAAAGTCATATTTGGTTTCCACTAGATCTACCCCAGATATCCTGCTGCCAGTGAAGCAGGAGGACTTTTATTCCAGAAGTCCAGAGCTGCTCCACTTTCCCAGGCTATTTGTGCTTAGACTGAAATCTCTGCAAGGCAAGGCCCAGACTCCTGGATATCTGCAGAGCAGCTACTGCAGAGCTTCTGCAAAGATGAAAACCAGCTTTGAGTCAGCACTTTGAAAGCCATGAGCATAAGCAACACTGTTCTAACAGGATGGGGTAGGCAAAGGGAAGGGGAGGTAAAGAACAAGCCCAGGTAAACCTGGGTTTACCAGGTGTTCAGGTAAACCATTCCAGTCCGGACTAAGGCCCCATTTAACCCAGTAACTGTTCCCAGCAGTGTGGACAAGCAGGCATGCAGAGAAGAGAAAGAGCAGGGCAAGCATGCATGGTATTTCTCCCACATATTTTCCCAGCTTCCAATGATCTTCATCTCAGGAAAGGTCCTGAGTCTGATTTGCTTTGTTTATTTAGCAATCCCCAGTGGGTGTCTCTTTGAAGTATTTGCCATATCATTCAATTTACTTTGTTCATTGTTATTGAGCATTAAGCTGACATTTCAAATGAAAGACCACGGTGATGTCATTCCTAAAAAAATCTGGAGGTTATGTTCTCACAGTTTGATCTGAAGTACTTCGCATTTTGTAATAAATGGCTGTATCAAATTTTCACTGTCTTTGTAGACCTTAGTGGGAAGAGACTTTACATGATTCTAGTTTAAATGTATTACAGTAAACCTAGACGTTGTCTCTCCTTACAATTGCCTTTGCAATTGTGCTTGTTTTTGTTAACTATCAACTGGGTACAACCAAAGTCCAGTCAAATCAGACAGATCTGTAACCCAAATCTCTTTACCTGACTTGTGTATGTTCCATGCCTAAAGGACAGTTGTCTGTATTCTCACTCAGGCCCTGGACACAGAATTTACTATTATGATAGTATCCAAACCACTAAGCAGGCCTGGGCCTCATTATTCTAAGCAAGGTGTCTTGAATTGCATTGAATTGGCTTTTAAAGTTAATACATCATAGCTGAAACCTTGGTCCCCCCTCTATGGGGTTATCTTTGTTCAGGCCAGGATTTTGCCTGAGGAACAGCTCTACTGTTCAGCATTATTTTGTAATCATCTTGTTGAGTGCTCTCCTGCTTGCTAAAGTATTTAAAGGCTTTCCCCTCTTCAGCTTTACTCAGTGGCAGAGAAAGTGATACTCACACCCTTCATGTAAAGAAATGCTGAGATGGCCAAAGTGATCTTTTATCCAAATCTGTCATTGGCTCTGTTGGAGCCTATTTCTCCTTGCCTCCAACTCAGAGAAAACTGTTGCAGATATTTGCTTTAGGGTTGAATTTAGCTTGCAGCTTTTTTTCCAGTTGGTGCTATGTCCAGAAAAGACCTTTTTGGCAACTGCAGTTTGAAATTTTATTCCAACCCTGGATCTTAAACGGAATTGGAGAAGTTTACTGGAGATGAAGTAACCTTCCTTCCTTTCCTTACTGATCATCCCCTGCCATCTGCAACAGCCACTAATTGCTGCATAAAGCACAGCTTTGAGAAAGATAGTGCAAGTAAATGCACAGTGTCAATAGTGGGCAGTTAAATAACCAGGAAGACCAAAGGGAAAAAAATTAAGTATAGGTTTACCTGATTGGGTGTACTGTTAAACAGCACATTCCTGAGAAATCATTGAACAAGATGAAAGTAAATGTGATATTTAGCATAGTCAAGCAGAAAGGATCCATTCCTGAAAGTTTCAAGACTTGCTTTATTTGGTGTCAGCTTTATCAGACAGACTTCCCTCTAGCAGACAGATTTGTTACTAAGAAGAACATCAAAACCAAACTGGCCATCTTGCAAAATTTGGTCTGACTTTGTGTGATTAAGATGGGGTGATCTGGATCACAGTGTTTTGCAGCCAGAAGGGCTAATTAAGCCTGTCTGAAACTTTGACCCAGATGCTTTTACTTCAAGAGAAGAAACTGGCAGCAAGAGAAAAACTAAACTGTTTGCTGCGTTGTTCCAGCAGGCACCAAGGAAGGGCTATGCCATGCAGTGAGTAGGTATGATTAGCTCATTTGTCATTAGTTTAAACTAACATGAAGCAGAAAGTGGAAGTCTAAGCACATGGAAATAGCACCTCCCAATTCTGATTAGCCTTTTGTTTATACCGTGCTGTAGTACGGCTGCATCGGCTCACTTAACCCTTCTGCAGGCACAAATGTTGTAACTCCTGCCTCCCTTGGAGAAAGGAAGGAACACCTCCCTCCAGAGAGGGTTAGCAAGAGACAGAGAAGTCATCCGGCAAACTACCACTACCACCACCACCATGAAGACATCAAATGTTCTCGTTCTCATCTTAGCCCTGCTTTACATCAATGCCAGCACGGAATGGCCTACGCACACAGTCTGCAAAGATGACAACTTGGAAATCTATTACAAAAGCTGTGGTGAGATTTTTAAAATTTCCATTTTCCTTTTAGCTGGGCACTAAAGTTGCTCTTATGCAGTGAGAGATGCTTGTAATTCAGGCAGTGAACGGAAGGGTTATGCTCCCAAATCAGCACTGGGTTTTGCAGCTGGAATACTTTTAATCTTTCAAATACAGCTGTTTTGGTTGACACGCACACAAATCTAACTGCATTTATATAGGAGATGAGAAAATAATGTAACATATTTCATATTAATAAACAGCTGTCAAAAATCCAGTTAGCATGAAAGAGATGACTAGGAATTTTATCTCAAAATTAGGTTAAATAAAAAGAGGAAGACCCTGGATCTTTATCTTTCTTTTTACCCCTGGGATGAAACAGATTCTTCGATGCACTGATCTGCTGTTTTCCTGATGTGCAGCAAGGCTGTGGTGATACCCTTTCTGTCCTTCCACTTGGAGTGACAAGGGACCTAGTGTGACAGTGGGAGAGATTCATGTTCTCCACCATTGCCACTGTGCTTAGCAAGACTTCAGCAGCAGCACTTAACAGAGGCATTTCCCAGGGACCATAGGGTTTTGTTTGTTCTTTGAATCTGTAGAGAAGAAAGGAGCAAGCGGCACTGGAACGACTGAAAATGAATTCACTGAATGGTGCTTGCTTTCCACCTCTTGCTTTGCTGGCCTTGTGCCTCTCCTATTGTGCCGATCTGCTTTACAACTGGGACAAAGGGAAGTAGATTCACAGACGACTCATTCATTTTCAGCACGTGATGTGAAAAGCGATTCATAGCAATTGAGCACCCTAGAGTTTGTTTTTCCAATTCATCCCGATACAAAAGATTTCCCAGGGGGCTTTTTCTCCCCTGTAGCTTTCATGCAGTTTTGCACACCCATTAAAATAAAGCCAGTGAGGGACAAGAGAAGTAAATAAATATTTGTAATGCTATTCTTTACCGGCCTGCTCCCAGGAGACTAAAGTCAGGCTTCACATATTATAAATGGATATACTGCATTAGGAAAATATTTAATTAGATATTGAATACAAGCTTCATTATTACCTTTATTTTAGTAAGAATTCATTGTTTAAGTTAATTCTGTTCCCTCAACAGAAGGTCTCAGTTAACATGAGGTGCCTTGACACAGAGGCACAAGCTACAGCTTGAGTCAATTCAAATTATGATGAAATTTGTCTGCTGGGCATGTGTCAGACAAGCATTGCTTCTTACTATGCACACGAGTGACCTAGCTAACAAAATGCATTTGTTTAGAGCTTGCGTGTCACTTATTCTGGTTTGCCACATGCAGAAAGGTAAGAGGCACATTCATTCAGGAGGAATTCACAGCTCGAGAAGCACAAGCCAAAAATCATGCAGATCAGGTCCCACAACTGGGAGTGGATTTCTGTTCTCCCAGGCACAGCTATGGGAGATGAGAAGATTATACACACATGGAAATAATGCAAGAATTAAATCAGATTCCTCACTCCTTTACAGCTCTGGCAGATTCAGTTGTGTCAACGTTCCCAGCTGCTGTTAGCTTTCTGCCCTGCATTTTTCTAGGGGCTATCACACCTGTACCATCAGACCAGGATGCACCATCTGCATATCTGCTGATGCAGCTCATAGTCTGGTAGCTTCCAGAAAGCAGAAAAATACAAGGTGTTTTGGGCTGAGCCCAAAAACTCTACAAGTGGGGAGGATAAATCTGCATACACTACTCTACATTCCATTCAGAGAAGGCACTGCTCTTACTGAGCCTCCTGGCAAGCTCACAATAGTGCAGATCACCTTCTCAGGAGAGGGGAAGCTTCGTCCCCACTTCATTTCACTGTAAGACACAAGCAGATGGGCAGAACATAGCTTCGTTCTTCAGCTATGGGTGGGTGGTGTCCCACCAACTGTTCTTAACCCAGGAGGGGACAGACACACTAATGTCTAGGTTTAACAAGACCCTTTGCCAACAAACCTTCTCATGACAACTTTGCAATGTCAGCAAGCACAGAGTCAATGCTAGGCAACTGCCCATACTCTCTAGCTATTTCAGGGAAGACTGCTCCTCATGTGCCTCCAGGCTCAGAAATTCCCATGGTATTTCCTGCTCACTGAAGACGCCAGAGAATGACATGTTTTTGGAATACCGTGGCCACAGTGAGGTATCTAGTATGAAATCTTGGATAAAGCATTCCCTGTTGGATTCAAGAGGGTCAGGATTTCACCTCTGATGGGCTCTTAGTAACTCTATAGAGAGTTACTATAAACTGGTGTCAATGAATCAGGGTTGAATCAAGTAAAATTTAAGGAAGTTGAGAGAATTTTAGCCAAGTACTTCACAACTTTATTTCTGGAGCTGGAAGCCCTCTGTCAACAGATTAATAGAGTTCAGTCTGAGCACTTAAAAAGGAGCTAAGTGTTCATTTTTACTTTGCAGTTTATCAGATCCTCTCCTATAATGCAGTAAAAATCTGACTAAAGCCAAAAATATGAGCTAATATAACTGTGATAGATGTAGCAGAGAAGCTTAGGTGGATAACTGAAGACAGACAGATAAAGCATATCCCATACACAGGAGCAAGTCCCAATTTCCCTGTTACAAGCGCTTATTCTAGCTGTATCCTGCCCTTGTAATCTGTAAGATACAGGCATGCATCAAGCCCCCAACCTCAGTCCATGTTCTGGATCCTATAGATCCATCCCACCCAGCCATGTCAGACTAAGCATTCAGTAACCAGGACCCCAAGATATGCTTCAAAAGAAAGGGCTAGACAAGATGCTAGTGATCAATATAATGCACTTGTAAAAAACCCAAAGTAATCTAAAAGAAATCAGACAAAAGTTCTCAGCAGTAAGTCCAGGGTGAGAAACTCAGGCTGAGAGACGGGTGGTCTAGAAGTAAAGTGAATAGACACTATGCTGCCTCCTTTATACAACCACAGGAGACATAACACCGAGACAGTCCATAAATAGCAAGACATTTCCCATAAGTGCCACTCTTCCTCCCAGGAAGAAGTGACAAAAACGAAGGAAGATCTCAAATGACCACAAATCACTTTAGAAACCTGGGCAGGGATCCCAAGATAAAAGCAACACAGGTTAACATCTCTGACTGAGAAGAGAGAACAGTAATTGGCAAGTCTATGCAGAGACATGAAAAGAACCTGCTACACAAATGACTGATTCCTATCCCTTTTAATTTCACAGTGATTTTTACAGTAATAACACTTTTGATCTTTCCAGCTACATTTTAAAAGGCAATTGTCTGAGAAGGGAAAAGGCGGAAAGGCAGGGGCAGCAAAATGCCCCGAGCAGATTCCAGTGCTATTTGAGTGTCAGGCATCCACCTCAAAGTGCAAAGTGCAATGCAGTCAGAGACTTCAAATTGTAACTCCTCTATGTGCCTACCAGCACCTGCTTCTATTATTCTATCTGCTATTCATGTAAGCCTAATTGTCTTAATTAGCCATGAAATCATTCTTACAATGTAGTGTTCAAATGGGGCCCTCTTCATAGGCTAAAGCAGGTGATTGCTGCTGCAGACAACACATGGAAACTGTTTTCCAACTATTTTTACAGCTCTTTCTTGAAATGCTAGTTGGGCTTACGTAAAATCAGCATTTCAGAACTTCTGGTTTTATTTTGACCAGCAAACCCAAACCAGTATGCTCAGTGATTAATAAAGCTCTACTTTTAGATTAGGACCTCAGATTTAAGAGCTACTTGCTGCCTGAAACTAGGTTTCTTGACAGTGCAGAAAAGGTTACTGATACAGCAGAAGGTTCTTAGAAAGGGCCTGGAGAGCACTGACCATTAAGGACTTTGTTTTCTGTGTGTGAGAGTGAAAAACAGGGAATGTCAGGGAGATCTTCAGGAGAATCAAAGTAGTAGTATTTGAAGATGGACATCTTGAGAAATACGCATTGGGCTTTATAAAACACTGTTCAGACATGGGATATTTTACTACCAGACAAATATTCCTCAATTCAAGCCTGACTTTGATTGCTTTTCCTTCTTTTTTCATCTGAAGCAAGGTTAACAGCTATTAGGTGAAGTTTCAGAAGGAGCAATCAGTCTGTAGTAATTTTAAACTCCAGAACCTAAATATGTAAACAGTGCAACCAGTTACAGGTTTTATATCTGCATGTCCACAAATCAAAAGAAATAATAAAACGTGTTTAGGGATATGGGTAACCACTTATTTTAATTAACATCTTCTGCCAGACAAAGAAGCAGGGCCCTCTGGTCATCTAGAGAATTACTTTTACTTGCCAATGTCTCCTCCTAAACAGAGCAAAGCCAGACTGAACTTGCATCCACTGAGCTCCATGACTGCTTGCATAGCTCTATGTCACACTTCAAGCGGGGTCATTTCTGTAAAGCTTTTTCCTGCCCTACATTGGTACAGTAGGAGAGCAGCACTGCCCACTTCAGTATGAGCTTGCACTGGATTGCATTTACAGATAGAGAAATTCTCATTTGTATGGCTTTTCTTTAAACTTGTGAGTGTAGGTTTGGATCTCCACTAAAATGGCACCTTGAAGTCAACAGGGTTATTGCGGTATAGAACTTGCTCTGGTCAGATACCACAGTATAGACACCTTCCTTTTAAACGCTGCTTTGAGGGAACTGGTTGTGCTTGAAAAATGAAAGAAGAAAAAGCGGAAAATGGTCAGATTACAATTTTCTGATGATCTGTCTGCCCATGCTGAAAAGCTGCAGTCTTACTGGCCACACACACACTCAGCCCATCATATCCTTCCTCCTACATACTGAGAGATCAAATATTCTATTTCTCTAAAAATCCTATTGTTCTTTTTTTTAAAAATAGACTTGTACCACCCATCCCTGCTCAGTCAGCAATACCAACTTGTAAACCGTCCCACTAAAGTGCCATCATTGCAGCACCAATTTTACAGCACATCACTTTGTTTTCTATGTCAACCAATACTATTAGTCCTTTTCCTCCCTGGCCACACACTTATATCCTTTATTTAAAGGTTACAAGTAATCCAATAACTTCAAC